GTGGAAGGGAGGGAGAGAGACACAAGAGAAACATCCATGTGAGAGAGACACATCTATTGGTTGGGCCAGGGGAGCCATCTGTAACCCAGGTATGTGCCCCTGACCTCAAACCCTCAACCCTTCAGTTCTTGGGAAAATGCTCTATCCATTAAACCAAACTGGCTAGTGCTAGCTGTTGTCATTTTAATAAACAGATGTCTTTAGGAAAACTAGGAATGGCAGGAAAGGCACACAGTTGGGTTAAGATAAATCTATGTTTGAATCTGAATTTGGTCACTTCTTAGTTGTTTAACGTTGACAAATCTGTGTAACTTCTGCTTCAGCAAAATAGGGAAAAACAAAAGCACCACTTGGCTCAAAAGATAGTGGGGAGGATATAAGGAGAATGTAAAGTGCCCAATGCCTAAGTAGCTAATAAATTAGTTACATTACCTGAGAGAAATATTGAGTTGAAAACTCTAGAAAATCCTTATTACATGAAAGAGACCATTAACACTTCTTGGAAGTCTCCTTTATAAATACCAGACACTTTGTTGGGTACTTTTTCATACTCTCTTAATTAAATCTTAAAATAGCCTTTAAGTATTTTCCCCATTTCCCTGTTTTAAGAGTTTAAATAACTAAGCAGGTTACAGACGTGGTAAGTCTATATTCGAATTCAGGTCGTCCTGACTCCAAACCCTGGGTAGGCTCTGGTTACTGTGTGCTTTATGTGGATGGCTACTTTTGAAAACACGTGCTGTTTCAACTGGAAAAAAGTTTATTATGTTTGTAAAACTGTCCAATTGAGGACAGTTTTACAAACATAATAAATTCTTAAGTGAACACTGATTTATAGATCTTAAATCAAGCCTACCATCATAGTTATTAAGGTCTGTTATCTAAAAAAAACACAAATAATAATTTCAAGAATAATTGTCCTTATACAAAAACCATTATTACAAAACCTAAGTCATCAAAGGTAAGCCATAGTATGGGCCACCCATGCACACACACTGTAATACAATCTTCAGTTCTGACCAATGATCTGGGCTATTGCTGAAACCACTCCAAAAGACCTTGGTGGCACTTAATTCATACAGGGATTGAATGCCTGTTGTATAAATAGCACTATTTACAGTAAACCCTTGAAAAAGTCCAAGACAAACCTACCCTATAATAAATTTGACATTTCATTTATATTCAAGATTGAGGTCTTAAGTGGTATATACCGTAATTCGTATGTAATCTAAAATAAGTTATAAGTACTATATAAGTTATAGCTCCTCCAAAACTTATTTCCAGTCAGATAACGAATTTTATGAATCATTAACAAAAACTTTTAGCAGAAAATTTAAGGTTTAATTCAGTATTTCACAAGCCAAGGATATAGGAATACTTCTTATAACTCAATTAATCATACGTGTATTCCAAAAATTAAACTCCGATATTGTTTACAAAGCATAGCACATGGGTGCTAATTTACAAAGCACATAATTTACAACTGTGGTTTTAAACCTCTTTTTGAAAAACACCTTTAAGAGTTTGGTAAAAGCCTTTCTCAAAAAATGCAAACATGCCTATGCATATAAAATATTACTTGCCCATTGAAGTTCAAATATAATTCCCCTCAATTTATAGGGAACTCACTGGCCTCAAATAAAGACCCCTTATTTAGGAAATCATTTACATTTTTAAGAGACCTTTATCCTAGCTTTTCAATAGCATGGTCCCTTGAGTAATTTACATTTGTCATTTTACAAAAACTTATTTACCCACAACTTGACATTAACAGGACACTTCTTCCAAACCCTTCAAATTCTTGCAATACTAAAAACAAACTCTGGTGTCTTTTGTCCACTAATATTAAGAGTGCTCACAAGATGTGTGGCCCTGAACTAGGGGGTGGCAAAGAAGAGAATTCCAAGATTTTGTCAAGGCCAGTGACCTTTAAAAGTTTACAATCTATTTGCACAGTCTGTTCTATTTAAAAAAACACACACAAATTCTTTCAACAATTTACTGACCATTTTAAACAAAAACAGGTGTAGTTTTTAAGATGAAACCATTAGCCCTTGCTGACAGTAGTCAGCAAACTCATTAGTCAAGAGAGCCAAATATCAATCGTTCAACGATTGAAATTTCTTTTGAGAGCCAAATTTTTTAAGCTTAAACTTCTTTTAATGCCACTTCTTCAAAATGGACTCGTCCAGGCCGTGGTATTTTGTGGAAGAACCATACTCAAGAAGCCAAAGAGATGCATGTGGCTCTTGAGCTGCAGTTTGCCTACCGCGGCCCTCGCAAATTTGGCAGCGCATAGAGCATCCCTCTGAGGACAGAAGGATCCGGGTTCGATTCTGGTCAAGGGCATGTACCTCAGTTTGCAGGCTCTGGTCAGGGCGCACGCAGGAGACAACCAATCGATGTTTCGCCCTGTCTTTCCCTCTCTCTAAAAATCAATGGAAAAATATCCTGGGGTAAAGAAAAGCAATTCTGTAGAAAAGGGGACCAGAACATAGATTCACAGAAATTAAAAACAAAACAAAACACAACCAAACAACTAAATTTTTAAGTAAAATATACCTAAGGATGAATCTGATTTTAGCAAATACATCTAACTTGAAAAACTATAGCCAATTTCACAAGTTAAGTCAACTTGAAAACTAGAAATACAAAAACATGGAATTAGATGTAATTACTAAACTCAACAGAATTAATGTTCTGTGACACATTCTATAAAGATTTTACCTACCAAAAAAAAAAAAAAATTACTGCAAAATATTAAGACAGCAAAGAATTTAAGCAGCTCGGTAACAAAAAACAAGGCTGGTATGTTATTCACCCCCATTATCACCCCCATGGCAGACATCACTAATGGATTCACTACACTTTCCCCCCACTGAGTCTCATAATTTCAACAGAAACTTCCAGTAGAAATCAGGAGGGCATTAAAACTGAATCTGTTTATTTCCTTGACAGCTATTTTTAAAATACTATTCAAGCCAACTAAATGAAGCACCAAAAGTTTATGTATTTAATGTTCAATGAATTTATACTAAATTTTATTTATTTTGAGGTGTTTTCCAACACACAAAAGCTTTCTTAAAAGTTTAAAAATTTCTTTGTTAAACAGAATAAAATATTACAGTTAATATAACTTTACTTAATTAGTAAAAAATACATTTTAAGAAATGTACATAACCTCCCCCATGAAAGGGTTCTAGAAAACTGCAACTAACTATACTTTTGGCAGCCTTCATTTTTTACCCAATTTGAATTAAAAAAGACAAAATAACTTTTTTTGAGTATCAATAAAATAAAACCAGACATGCCTATAAGACATAATATATGTATATATGTATATATGTATATATGTATAACTCAAGTAAGAAAAAGCATAACTTTGTTCTTGCAATTTCAATGAAATATAGGTATTATTCTTATTAAATACAAAAAAAGAATATATGTGACCATTTAAGATTTCTGTCCCTTACAAAAAACAATCCTAAGTAGAACAGACTCCAGAAAGGAAATGATACCAAAGGAAATAAAAACTCTGCAACTCTAGGATCATATTACAGGTGGGAGATGATTGGCATAAATATAGTAATTGGAAGGAGTGAAAGCCTGGATTCAGGAAGTTGTATGAAAACACGGTGGTGTGGGATAAGTGAGAAAGAGTTTATTTCCTAAATCCTCAAGTCTAGCAAAGAAAAACCATATTCTAAAAACCAGAAGGCTCCAACTTCCTGGCCTCAATAGCAGTATTCAACTTCTATATAAATATAGACAAGGTTAACAGATGACAACACAATGTCAGGAATATAAAAACCATAAAAAGGGGCATTTACCTACCTAAGTCCAACCTCAATTGGTACTGACACTAAAAATAAATGGTCTGAGAAAAGTGTCTATTAGAGGAAACTGAGTATATGTGAAAATACTTTTTCAGTGAAGTTCTTACAGAAGCTGTATGCAAGCATAACCTCAAATTATATATATTTTATGGATTGTAGAGCTTCCTATGTATATCCATTCCAATCTTTCCCCCATATTGCACTATACTGCACTACTTTTTGATCCCCAAGTACAAAAGTATACTAAACATTCCTGCCTACGGCATTTTTTCCTCCCTAAAACTGAAGTGAAACACAAACTATCTGTAAAGACTTGAAATATTCTTTTTAAAATATATATATTTTATTGATTTTTTACAGAGAAGAAGGGAGAAGGACAGTGTTAAACATCGATGAGAGAGAAACACTGATCAGCTGCCTCCTGCATACTCCCTACTGGGGATGTGCCCGCAACCAAGGTACATGCCCTTGACTGGAATCAAACCTTGGACCCTTCACTCCCAAGGTCTACGCTCTATCCACTGAGCCAAACCAGTTTCAGCAAGACTTGAAATATTCTTAAAGTGTGTCTAAAACCCTTAAGAATACATTTACAACCAAATGTCACTTGGTGCTTTTTCGTTTGCACAGGCCACTTATTTGGAGGACCATGAATTCACAACTTGCCTAAGCTGCCAAACTACATATGGAGGAAAAAGCAAAACCAACTTTACTCCATAAAACAAACTATTTTGAGTAAATGAGCATGACACCAGGGTTAGTTCATGCCTGGGTAGTTATTGCTAGAAAGAGATTTAGAGAGCAGAGAGAAATAAATTCTCCCTTAGCTTACATTTACAGGGGTGGGGTGGGGGAGAGGGCCTTTTTTTCAAAGTGGCTTTCATCTTAGTGGCAGCACATCACCAGAGCACTTACCATACAGAACCTATCTGATACATGGGGGAGGATAGCTAAAGACTTACCAAAGGTTCTTCAGGAAAAAGCCAGTTTTTCCTACCATTGAAAGGAATGAAGGGGGGGAGAGGGGCGCGAGTCACAATATCCCATCGTCTTCCTTTTCCCTTGTCTAGGGAAACAAGTGTCCCAGAGGTGCACATCCTAAGACCGAGGCTCCAGCCTGGGGTAAGGAGGAACGAATAGCTATGAACTGAAGCCCAAACTCACCTCCTGGATGCGCTTCCTGGCCCGCTGCAGCACTTCTTCGTAGCCCTTCTGCCGCAGCTCGCTGAGGCTTTCGTAATACTCCTCGGGGTCGTCGGTCTCGGTAAACAGCACCTGGGAGAGGATCTTCCAACCGCAGGTGTCCAGGCCGTGGCCCAGATAGACCTGGAGCTGGTAGCACAGCGTGTCGATCTCCTGCTCGGTCATCTCCGGGGCGCCCCCGAACAGCACGGTCCACATGCCCGAGGGCTCCTCGGGGAAGACGGGGAGGCAGGGCTCCAGCTGCGAGTTCACGGAGCACAGCTGCTGGTGCACGGCGCGCAGGTCCTGGAAGGAGAAGAGCCCGGCCCAGCTGCACTCCTCGGCCGCGGGCTCCAGCTCGGCGGCGGGCTGCTGCTCCGGGTCGGAGCGCGCCGGGGACGCCGGGGCCGCTTCGTCCTCCCTCACCATCTCCAGCACCTCGATCTCCTCGGAGACCGCCCCGCAGGCGCTCACCACCCGCACCGAGGACACGGCGGGGACCTCCTCCTTGGGCGCCGGCGGGGCTGCGGCAGAGGCGGCCCCCGCCGCATCTCTGCCTTCGGATGCCTTCCGGGCCGGGGCGGACTTGGCCCGCGCCGGGCTCCGGAGAGGGCTCTCGGCGGCCCCTTTGCCGGCGGATCCCCGCAGCAGCGGATCCCCCCGGAGGTGGCGCGCGCTCCGCGGAGAGCCGCTCTCCGCCGAGGCCGGGCTCCTCCGGGGCCCCGGGCTCCTCCTCCTCCCCGGAGTCGCAGAAGCCGTGGCCTCCGGCCGCCCCTTGCCCGCTGGGCTGGAGCCCGGCCCGCGAGTCCCGTCGGACGCGGCGGCGCAGGACTCGGCGCCCCCTCGCGTCCCCGCCTGCTCCCGGGAGCCGCTCCTCTGCCTCTGGGCCGTCCGGTTGTGGCAGGTGATGGCAAACTTGCCCTCGATCTCGTTCCAGGCCACGATGAAGACGAACTTGTGCTTCTCGCGCTCGTCGAACACATGGGGCCGCACGGCCACCCAGTCCGACTCGAGCGTCTCCTCCAGCGCGAACGACATGGTGGCTCCGGCGCCAGGCCGCGGGGGAGGCGACGCTGGCTGGTCCTGGCCGCCCGCCCGCCGAGAACTCACCGGCTGGCCGCGCCGCCGCGCCCCCCGCTCACCCTCGCCGGGCGCCTTCAGCCATCTTAAGCGTCCCGGCCGCCGGCTCTCCTCGCTCGGTCGCCCGTCCTCCCCGCGCTCGGACCCGCCGCGCTCCTTTGTGGACCGGCTCGCCGGGAGGCACAGACAATGCGCGTCCTTGGAGCAGGTAGTTCACATGGTCACGTGCAGCCGGATCTGTTTACAAGCCCCGCGCCGCCGCGGCAGCGCCCCGCGCCCGCCCACCGCGCGCGAGGCCGCGGGGCGGCTTCTGCGGCGCCCCGGAGGGAAGACGCGGGTCCCGCGGGGCCGGGAAGGCCGGTGGACGGTGGCGGCCGGCGGTGTGTGCGTCTCCAGGCCGATCTCCCCGCCTCGTCCTCTTCCCGACCGCGCGGAGCTATCTGATGGACGGACGCGTCTCCCTAAACTCTGAGCCTCGGTATCGCCACAATGTTAGCATTCGGCTGCTGACGTCGGCGGCTCCACGAGGGACGTAAACACCGGCACGTGCCGCACGCTGGTGACGCGGCGGCGGCGGCGGCGGCGGCGGCGGCGGCGCGCACACTCCCAGCCCGCGCGTGCGCGCGCCCGCCCCGCCCCCTCGGCGTCGCCCCGCCCCTCCCGACTCTTTCCTTCCTCTGCTCCGCCTCCGCCTCCCTCCCGCAGGCGGGAGCCTGCGACTCGCAGGCTGTGGGGTCGGAGGGGGTTGGAGTGACAGGTGTGTCTCGCGGGCCCAGTGGCCTCCGAACCCCGGGGGGGGGAAAAGGAGCGCAGGCTGAGGAACTGGGACTTTCCGAACTCCAGTCATGCAAAAGGGGGCCTTCAAATGTAAGTTTGCCTGCATTCCCCTGGGGGGAGTCGGGGTGGAGAAGTCCTATACTCTGTACTCCGTTAACATGACTCGGACCTTGTGATGAGCTTTTTTGGGTTCCCCCAAACTGTTGGATGTACCCTAACACCCTCGAGACACATTTCATCAGTGTTTTGTTGCTTCAGGTTTCATCATTGTGTAGTGGTTCTTTGAGCCTCACTTTGAGATAATTGGATTGAGCCCTTTTGAAGTTGTACTCAATGAGGAGTCCCCAGAACGCACATGCAAAAAAATAAAATAAAATAAAAATCATGTAAATTTGAAGAACCCTGCTGTTCCTACTGAACTGTGATAAAACATTCTTAAAATATCCTAGAGGATCCTGTAATCCAGTTTACGTTATTGGCATTTTTTTTTTCTTCCTCGAGTCCAATTCATATTGCAGGTATTCTGCATCAACAGTAAAGTGCAATGAGGATTCGTTCTTTTACTTTTATACATATTTCAAAAACATATGCAGAATACCGTAACTTTAATTAACCGTGCATTGTCAGATATAGTTTTACTTCAGTGTTGTCCTGACATCTGACTGAACAGCAAAAGTTTTAGCCCCTTCGCTGAGCAGGACATTTTAGACCAATGGACCTGCTTTGACAATAAAAGGGGCGGGGGTGGGGGGCGGAGGAGGGCACTTTGCGCTGGATGAGCAAACAGGGAACCTAACTAGTTTTTAAGCCTTTTTGTAGTTCTTTATGTGGAACCACACATTTTCAAAACTTGTAAAAGAACTGTGTCAACTCTCAGATGCAAATCAGAGATACACCTTTCAAAAGGTAGGAAGAAAAGAAACCCATCACAAATACGTATCACGATCTAAGCAAACAATAGCACATTATAAAAAAAATTTTTTTTTAATTTTTTCTACTAAAAGTTACTCTTATAAGTTTTTCTGATAAAAAGTTGACATGATCCCTAGGTCTTTTCATGTAATACATATGGAGAAGTCTGAATAAGGATTAAAAAAAAATCAAAGAATATGTTTATAGGAAACATTTTTATTTGCATGTATTTCAGTATTTATCCACAGATATAAAATTATATCTTATTACAGTAGTGCTAGAGAAACTTGACTGGTGGTCACACGGGTGTTAAATATTTTCCCCTAATACTCTGGAGACACTGTGTTTTGTCAAAAGGATTGTTTCAATGGTTCTTGTTTCCTCTATCTAAGTAATTGTTACACTAGGAATGAAAAGAAACAAACAAAAATTCCCATGGAAGGCTACTGTGGTACTCTACAATTCTTTGTTTAGGTCTGTATCTGATTGTCAAGCAAGATCTCTGAGTGTATAAATTACTCCCTGGCAACAAGTAAAGCTACAGAAAAAGCACATACACCATACTAGCTTTGAAAGGGGTAGAAAATGTTTATCTCTTCGGATTTTTTTAAACTGCTATGAATTGTTAGGTAATCTGGAAAATGCTTTAACTCTTTAGGTCTTTTAATAAAAACTATACTAGTTTACATGGTGATTTTCAAATTTTATAGCATTTTCTTGCACATGTTTATTTTATATTTATAATAACCATAATAGGTATGAAAGGAATAAATCTTTAAATTTTATATGTGAAAAATAGTATGGATTTTTAGGTCAAACATCCAGGGATTGTTTGGGAGCAGGAGACAATTTGAGTTCAGGGGCCTAATGGACATCTGTTCTAATTAGATTCTCTCAGAAGCAGACACTGCAAAGTCAGGAACATCCAAATGTATTGGAGGGCAGTGGATGGTATAACACCTGTGAGAGTAAAAGGACTGACGTAGAATTGGAGCTCCAGACCAAAGATTAGGTGTGTGATTTTTAAATTTTATTTTTCAATTACACTTTACATTCAGTATTATTTTGTAGTAGTTTCAGGTATGCCGCATAGTGGTTAGACAGTCATAAACTTTACAAAGTATTCCTCCCAATATTTACTATACCCACCTGGCACTGTACATAGTTATTACAATATTATTGACTATATTTTCTATACTGTACTTGACATCCTTGGTACTATTTTTGTAACTGTCAATTTGTACTTTTTAATATATATATATATATATATATATATATATATAGTTGATTTTTTTTTTTTTTACAGAGAGAAAGGGAGAGGGATAAACAGAAACATCGATAAAAGAGATACATCAATTAGCTGCCTCCTGCACACCTCCTACTGGGGATGTGCCTGCAACCAAGCTACATGCCCTTGACCGGAATCCAACCTGGGATCCTTCAGTCCATAGGCTGATGCTATATCCACTGAGCCAAACTGGTGAAGGCTCAATTTGTACTTTTTAATTCCTTCACCATTTTCACCCAATCCCTCAACCTGCTTCCCTTCTGGCAACCATCAGTCTCTTCTCTGTATCTATGAGCCTGCTTCTATTTTGTTTGTTGTTTATTTTATTCTTTAGATGCCACTTCTAAGTAAAATCATACGGTATTTGTCTTTCTCCAATTGACATTTTACTTAACATAACAACCTCTAGGTCCATCCATGCTGTCACAAATGGTAAGATTTCATTCTTTCTTATAACTGAGTAATAGTCCATTGTACATATATAGCACTACTTTTTTTTATCTGCTCCTTTATTGATGGGCACTTGGGTTATTTTCCTATTTAGGCTATTGTAAATAATGCTGAAATAAATACAGGATTATGTCTGTTCTTTCAAAATAATGCTTTGGATATCGCTGGTTGATAAGGCAGTTCCATTTTTAATTTTTTGAGGAACCTCCATACTGTTTTCTTTTTTATTGTTGAATTTATTGGTGTAACATTTGTTAATAAAATGATATAGGTTTCAGGTGTACAATTCTATAATACATATTATAATGTGTGTTCACCACCTTAATCCATACTGTATTCTATAGTGGCTGCAGCACTCTGCTTTCCCACAAATAGTACACAAGGGTTCCCTTTTCTCCACATCTTCACCAACACTTGTTTTTTGATGACTTATTGATGATAGCCATTCTGACAGGTGTGAGGTGATATTTATTGTGGTTTTAATTTTCATTTCTCTGATGCAAATATTATTTCTTTTTTAATATTTTTTTATTGATTTCAGAGAGGAAGAGAGACGGAGAGAGAAATATCCATGTGAGAGTGGAACATCAATTCACTGACTCTTTCCTCCTAGTGAGGGATGAGTCTACAATCCAGGTATGTGCATGCACTGGATGGTGCCCACCCAGATGAGCCACACTGGCCAGGGCAGGCCCATTTGGCCAGGATCTGATGCAGAGCCATTTTCTACTCTGAGTCCTACTCAAAGTTGGCACCTTCTATATATGGGTTGGATGTTTTCCTAGGTGTGGAATGTGTTGTCTCCAAAACCAAAGAGCCTTAACAGTCATTGTGCTTCCTTCATTGTATTAGTGGATGTATGATGCAGCAATCTGTCCTTTACTTTGAAGGGTGCCATGACCTGCATGGCTGGGTTCAGGATCTGAAAGGAGGGGCTGACACACAAATGAAAACTCTAGACAAGAAATATTAATTATTAAAGGGTGGGGGTCAGGGGGTTTCTCTTTCATGAAAAGCACACTGACTTCTAGCTGGTCTGCTTTTTATTTACTTGAATACACATTTTCCCTTTAGCAATGCATACAGGCATATCAAAGGTAAAGTTTGGTAAACAGTTAAAGGATTATCAGGTTAGGGAATTGCCTTGAGCCACCACTATCTCAACAGATGAGGTGCTTAGTGTCAGCCCTGCTAACACCTAAGGTCCATCTACCTTCCGAGTTCCTTGGTGCACTCCCATGATAGCAGCAGCGTGGGTAGCTTCCTGCAGAAGAGAATGTCCTGGTTTGCACTTGACCATGGTCTGTGCAGAAACTTTACTGAATTGGCAAGCACTTCAATTTTTATAATTTATCTCCCTCAATTTAGAGTACATGTATCTTACCAAAGTCTCCAGCATGCTAATAGCCTCTTACTCATGCTGCCAGATCAGCATGATGTCACCAATGTAATGAATCAATATGATGTTTTGCAGTGTGTCCAAATGGTCCAGATGTCTTCAGACTAAGTTATGACAGATGGTGGCAGAGTT